TAGAACTTTTTTGTTCTCCTAATATTTTTAAACACTGTTTCGACAACTCTAATAACTCGTAATGATTTATCAGTTCATAATCTTGACAAACTAAACGCGTGTCCATATAATTCTAAAAGAAGTATTTTTGAGTGAAAGGCGATAAAGAGGATAAAGAGTGTTCTTGCAGTCTCGCAGAATCGATTTTCTCAAATAAACTTCAGGGCCTCGTTTTCTTTTCACAAGATGAACCTATATTACAGGTCTGTTCAGTTGTGGTTTTAAAATGTTCAACTCAACCGAGATTCTCATTTTCAAATCGTTGATGAATGTGATAATATCCCTGAACGTACAATTTAATTCCAATGGTAGCACAAAACCTACAGACATGCCTTCGGTGAAATGAACCTTGATTGTGATGATGATGGAATTCTGTTCCTATAAATTGGCAAATCAAATAACGTAACTACGATGAACTTGGACACCGTGACGGTGAAAATAACGTGGTTTGAAAGGAAGGTAAAAACACAAATTAAATTCGAAAATAACAGCCTCGTTTTAACATAATTATTGAATTAATTAATGTACTTGTATTTTTAAATTAAATTAATTTTAATAAATTCAGAATTTAAATGTAAGTATTCTTATTAAAGGAACTTTCGCTTGATTTTATCTCGATTAAAAATAAATTAAAATTGAAGAAAATCAAGTTATTATTGTAAACTTAATTAAGTTTATTTTGTAGAAAAATTATGTTGTAAAGAATATGGAAGGTTTGTTATGTTCCATAGCATGATTTTAATAGCAAACCTCCCATATGATCTTGGTTTATAATTGAAGGATGGACAATATCAACAAATTTAATAATCAATGTATGATTCAAGAGATGCAAGACACAAGAATATCAACAATTTTTAGCATGGTGACTTTTGATAGATTCACAGATATAAGAAATTGTTGAAGGAAGATTTGCCAAAGTGTATTCTGCAACATGAATGATGGTAAATCGAAATTTGATAAGCAACATAATGGGTTGGAAAATTCAGATCTTAGACTTTAAATGGATAACAGGATATTTTAGACGAAATGTTTATTTGCATTATTTTTTTTAGTTGATAGTTATTAACCAAGGATTTCTCTAATTTTGATTACAATTCTAGCTTAAAACAATTTGGGATTGATTAAATATAGTTTATAACCTTTATTAACTTGTATGAAATTTATCCTGATTTCAAAAATTTGCACTCTATGGAAATTTAAATAATTATTATCTACATTTATGGGAAATTAATTGAGTAAATTAAGATTAATAATTTCTAGACCAATTTCTTTTTTTTTTTTACATGACTTAGGATATGGTCAGATTATTACTTTACATTTATAGTTTGATTGCAATTAATGAAAGCAATAACGAAACGTTTGTCAAATGAAGGTTACTCAATTATTTAAAAAAGGTCCGAAACGATTAATTTAGTTTATTCATAATAATCTGTTTTGGTGATTTATTAATTTTATCTGAATGTTGTATATTATTATTTCATCAAGACGAAACCTATTATATTTATAAGGTAACTTCTACAAAACAATTTGTTCAAAGTACAAAATGTCTAGAGCCATTGGACATCATTGACAAATTATTAATAAATTATATAAATATATACCATATAAATATTAAAATATTTGTTCAATATTGTGACAATGCTATTATATAAGAATAGGATAAGGACGGGACGGGTTATAAATATATTATTTATTAATTTTAAAAAGAATTAAAAATACAATGATGGAGTTCTTGTATTAATTATTCTCAAAGGTCGCGTCATACTGTGCCGTGACATTCGTAATATTGTATATTAATGAATTCAGTTTGGTTCCAACTTAAATCATTTTTGATTCAAGAACACAATATAAATGAGTAAAAGTTATTAATTTATAATTTCTTTCCCTCATTCCAATCAACTCGATTCTCGTCCAATTTTACATATTATAGTAATTTCTAGGGCGTGCAATGACTTTCATCTCTGTGCAATGATAGGTACCAGCATATACTAATTTGGGTTTTCTTGAAACCTTATCAACCAATTCAATGTCGTACTTTCTAAACAGTAAAATTAGCACAGTCTTCAAATCTACCAAAGCCATATTTTTTCCCGGGCAAATTCTTATACCACCTCCGAACGGATTGAAACTATTCTTGAAAATTTTATGTTCAGACCCTTTTAAAAATCTTTCTGGTAAAAATTTATCAGGATCTTCCCAATTCTCAGGCGATTTATGAATTTGTTCATGAAGAATGAAGAAAATTGTATTAGGCTCCCAGTACTTTCCTCCAATTTCACCGTCCTCTACAGATGTACGTGGTGTTAATGGTAAAATTGGCATGAATCGTTGAGATTCTTTAATAATGGCATCAAGGTATGTGAATTTATCTAAATCTTCATAGGTAATCTGTCGTGACGTGTCATCCCCCAAGATCTCTTTAATTTCTACTCGGAAACGTGCAATAACTTTAGGATGATGAGCTAATAGCCACATTATGATACAGAATGTATTTTGGGACTAATGATAAAAAGATCAGAAGAAAAGTTATTTACTAAAGATTTACCCTACCTAAGATGATAATATAAAAACTTACAGTATCTATACCGGCTAAGTTGGTTTCCATGAGGGTGGCACAAACTTCTTGATCACTCATTGGTGTTTCACCTTCATCATATCCGTTTGGATCACGTGGTGTGTTTAGTGTTAATAAGACATCTATCAGATCCGAACCTACCTCATCACCATTCTCAATTTCCGTTTTTCTTTTCTTGACAATATCAGTAAAAGTCTCTTTTAACCAATCCATATTATTTGAATACTTCTTATCCATATCATAGAATCCCGGAAAGTAATTCCTAATCACATTAGGAACCAATCGTCCAAACACCACACCCTTAAAAAAAGTTTGAACCGCATGACTTAATTTAATAGATTTTTTAATTTCTTCGGATTTGATTGGATCAACGTGTTCTTCACCGAACAAGTATGCATGAAGACAATAAGAAGGACTACTTGTGGTGGTTCGTAAGGTGATGTCGGTTGTAAAATGTTTTATCCATTTAGCGAAATCAAAGTGGTATTCCTTTTTATCCCAGAAACTTTCATTTTCATTAAATGATGATTGTACAAGTTTAGTGAATTGTCTCAGGAATCTAGGTGACTTAAGTGCTTGAACAACTAATTTCCTATTTCGTTTCCAGATCTGATAATCATTATTAAATACTAAACCATGCTGTAATCCAATCTTTTCCAAATATGGAACTTGCAATCTTGCAAAGAATTTATTATTTACGTTTGGAGTATAGATTTTTTCAATTAAAGATCGATTAGAGAGAAATACGAGTCGTTTTCTCCCACCCCAAATTTCAAACATGTCACCAAATTCATGATGATGATCCATTGCGTATTTTGCTGGATTTAATCCAACTTGTAATAAATTACCAATTAACGGGAGTGGGAGGGGACCGGGAAGAGGCGATTTACGTGTAAAATATTTGTAATAAAATCTCGCCACATACGTTATTATTGATAACTGTATAATTACGATTAAATTAATCATTGTTTTCTTTTTTTTTTCCTGAAAGAACAAAAAGATAAGTTAAAGTTAGTTTAAGGAAACCTAAAATAAGACAGGTAGTCCGATGTATAATTAAATATATGAAAAAAAATCCAGTTTATTGGATATATTATGAAGATAAATTTCAATATATGTAAAATCGGAAAAATCAAGTTCAAATGCAGCATGTTTATATACATTATTTATAAGAAATTAATTAAAGGCATATATGGATTATCCGCATGCAAAATGTCGTTTATTTCTGATACAGTTTCAAGAAAGTTTACCCTTTTTTAAGTTGATGGACCGATCAGCCATAGCGAGATTATTTTCTTGGGAATTACATTTAATCGTCTGGTTAAATTATTATTTAATAAAATTAATAATACAATACCTTTAATTTAAAACCTGATTTCATTTGGTATTCATCCGGATATAATAATGTCCGGCTCCTCCGATTAATAAATTCATTTTATTTATTATTACCATAATTAAATACCTTGCCCTGAAGTTGGAATGATTTTGAAGATCAATTAACTGAAATTGGAAATCCAATTTCAGGAAAAAAATCTATTAAACCAATCACGATATACCAAATTTTTTTTTTTACACGACACGTTAAATTTTTACGTTTTAGTCTTAGCAATGCTAATGAAAGTTGTTTTTTTAGCTGAATTATAATAATTAATTAGGTGATATTAAAAGATATATCTACATTTTAGCAAAAAACTATTCCAAGTTTCACGTAAAAAAGAAGTAGCTAAAATGGTCGTTTTCAGAAATAACCTCTTCAGTCAGATTAATTCTTTAAAACTACTAGCACTTTATCCCTTAAATTTAAACCGTGAATTTTCGAATATTCACGTGGCAAAGTATGCTTTGAAATTATTGCTAATTATTGCAGTAAAAAGATTATAAAAATTTATGATGATATTTTTTTAAAAAAAAAAATGTAATGATGTTTAGGAAATGTTATTAATCAGTAGACGCAAGCTTTGCTGTTATACTATTCCTCCAGTTCCTAAAAATTCAGTTACGAACTGTAACTAATAATGATAAATTAATATCGTATCGAGAAACATATTCTGCGTTTACCATAGAAAATTAATTTCTTATAAGAAAAAAGATTAAGATATAGCAAAATAATATATATATATATATAAAGTTCATGCATACTTTCATTTTCATTGATAATATATACGAACTCATTCCAATGATTCATAAAATGTTTGACAACATCAATTAATCACTATAAATAAATGATAATGATTATTCAATAAAAAATAAAATACATCAAACAAATTAAAAATATAATTTTTTTATATTTGCGCTCGATTATTAAGCGTGTATTAAAGCAAGTTTGACTTTCTAAAAAATTTTAATAGTCATTTCTCATTTTAAAATTTCTGTATCGTAGATTTTTATGTTTCTAACATTAAATCAGTTCCAAGTTTAATTACGATTTTTAAGCGTTGAGACTGCGGTTAACCATAATTAATATATATATACACTCCCCTGAAGAAAGTATCCGGGCACGGCTTTTTGCGAATTGTAGCTTAATTATATTATGTTTTTAAA